ATGTTTTAATGACTATGCTTTGACCTTAGACTGGATCATGACATATTATGTATAACATTGCAAAGAATAGGAATTCCAGAACACTTAATTGTGCTTGTGAGGAATATGTACAAAGCTCAAGAAGCAGTCATTCAGACAGAAGAAGAGCATAGTGCATGATTTTAAATCAAGAAAGATGTATGTCAGCATTGTATCCTTTCATCATACTTAAATCTGTATGTTGAACAAATAATTCAAGAATCTGGACTACAGGAAGAACAAAGTACATGGGACAAAGTCTCACCGTCCTTGCTTCAAAGAAGCATTTCAGTTATACTTCTTCCAAGACAGATATCTTCCATGAAGCAGGACTGAGCAGCGTTTTGTTATGTTGTACACAGGATTACTATGTGTTGCAATGGACTTGACAGCATACTTACCAGCACATGTCTGGTATACATTAGGAGGGTGGGAAGCTGTGACTATTAGTATGATATGCTATTGGGAACAACCATCTGCAAATCCTTTTATGATAGCAAATATGATTTATCAGTTTTTCTAGCACAAAGCATAGTTCTTGTCATTCTCAACATAAACTGTTTATTAAAGTAGAATTCAAATATATAAATGATTGTGGTTGTATGTGTGGTGTGCTATTTTTCCTCCTATTAGCTAAAGCACTTGACTGCTAACCAGAAGGCTGGCGGTTCATACCCACCAGCCACTCCTCGGAAGGAAGGTTGCACAATCCTACTTCCGTAGTGACACTGCCTCGGAAACCCAAGGAGGGGTCGCTATGAGTCGGGGCCGACTCGATGGCACATAACAACAACAACAACAAGTCTTCCATTTTACAAGTTTCACTTACCTTTCCCATTTTCTTCAAACCATTCCTTTATTTGCTACTGTCAGTAAGAACTGTTGACCAAGTGTCAGAATAGAAGGATGATATATAAGCCAGCTAAGTTATCAGTGGGATATCTTTAAACCCTCATCTGATTGCAATTCAATTTCTACAACATAATTTTTCTATTGTATGTTCCTATTTTAACATTTGCTGTACATCCCATCCCTCCCAGACTTTTCAGTCTCAGTTTATCATTATCCTTATATATATTGTACCTTCAGATTTTGGTCCATCAGTGGATCTTTTCCATTATTCAAATTTACATTTTAATAACACATCTCAAACACACGCACACACACACATTCCCGTAACATTGACACTTTTTTTTTTACCATTACACAATAATATTCATAATTATTGTTTGTACATACACTTTTTGACTTTTCTTTTTCAAGCCATTTATTCACCACTTTCATCAGCCTAAGGAGCTCTGATGGCATAGTGGCTAATGCATTTGACTACTAACCAGAAGGCTGGCAATTCAAACCTACCAGGCACTCTGTGGAAGGAAGATGGAGTAATCTACTTCCATAACGATTTACTGCCTCAGACACCCAAGGAGGGTCATTATGAGTCAGAATCAAATTGATGGCAGTGGGTTCAGTTTTTAGTTTGGTTTTCACCAATCTAATGTATACATTCTCACCACACCAAAGACACTGCCCTCTCCATCAACAACAATAATCTGTTTTGCTAAATTTGATGAAACTCTTAATCCTCGTCTTAGTTACCTAATGCCGTCATAACAACACTACAACAGGTGAGGAGCATGAAAGAGTAGTAATTTATTTTCTTCCTGTTAAGGAGGGCAGAGTTCAAAATCAGGTCATGGCTCTTGGGAGGATGTTCTTCCTTGTCAATATCCTTAAGCATTCTTTGGCGTTCCCAAGCATCTTTCTTCCCCCTGCTTATGTCTCTGGGTCTATTCCAATATTTTTATGAGTCAAAAAGGATTAGGTTTGGGACACACTGAAGACTGATATGACCTTATTATATAACAAAAGAAAATTCATATTATAGATAAAGTTATATTAACAGGTATAGGAGTTGGGATTCAATGCATATTTTGTTTTGAGGGGCCATAATTCAAGCCACAAAAATACTCATCTTCCATAGTTAATAAATTCTGGGCCATGCTGACTACTATTTTTTTTTTTTCTTTTTTCCAAGGACTTGCCTTATGCAAGCATCACATAATGGCTTCCCACCTCTTGGCTATCCATTCTTAGTCTTTTTTTTTTAAGTATGTTTCCATTCACTTAAACTTTATGCTTTAAAATTCCTCAGTGCTCTGTCCTTATTTTGTTAGTTTGTATTCTTTACCTATCTGTGAAATTCTATTTCAAAATAGCATCTATTTGTTGAAAAGTACATTTTAAAATCTAGGCCAAGACATTCCTCTGATGTTCAGGAAGAAGATGAGCCATACATCCAAATATCCATTTGGTATTTCTTTAAGTCTCTCAAATGTAGATAAATAATCTTTTTTCTCTGTAGGTGTAGAGTTTTGGGACTCTGGTTGTTCTGTGGCTAAAGCAGTTGGCTTTAACCAAAGGATCAGCCTTTTGAAAGCCCCAGACACTCTGTAGGAGCTACATGGGAGACAGATGTGACAGTCTGCTGCTATAGAGATTTACAACTTTGGAAAGCCTATTTGGGCAGTTCTACTCTTCCCTACATAGCTGTTATGAATTGGAACTGACTTAATGACAATGAAGGTTTTATTGTTTTTCGTGTTATTGTTCTTTGGCTTAGGCAGAGTGCAGCACCTCTCAAGTTTAACACATTGGAAAAAAAGCTTTTGGTCAGAAAGCATAAGTTTTATTATACATAATACGCAATCAAATTCAAAGATTAACCTCTGTAGGAAAGATATTTAATTTTTTTTTTAAATATGCCATACCAATGAAATAAACATTCCAATCACCCACTCACACCCATATTAGATGTAAAGGCATCATTCTCTATCCAAAACTTGAACCTAAAGTTTACAGAAAGAATAACAATAGTCCTCTCAGACCAAGATCAAGAGGAAGAGGAAACTTGAAGACTGGAAGGACTATAAAAGGACTCAATAACATCTGATGAGAGAAAAATACAGGTGATGAGATGGTGGATCTTATCCCTGAAGTTCAGCACACTTATCCCTGAAGTTCAGTGGTTTATGTGGAATACATCACAAGAAGAGACTTCACATTTCATTGTCTGGGAATGAGTGAATGAGATCAGAGTTTTCATCCTAATTCCACTTGTGGGGTTGTTCCTATGACAATTTACATCATTCAAACCTAAATTCAAGCCAAACTCCTCTTCCACATGTACTACTGCAATGACCTCAATAACCCTCTTTCTGACTTCCCTGTAAATAATGCTATTGGTAAATGTAAATATATCATGGCATTACCTACTTAGTACCCTTCAATAAACAGGCATTTTTTTCTTAGTGTAAAATGCCAAAACTCAACAGGGCTTTTGTTTTAGTTTCTTAGTGCTGATTTAACAGAAATACCACGATACGTGGTATTAAAGAACAGAAATTTGTTTTCTCAGTGTTCAGAAGGCTAGAAGTCTAAAGCAGTAGGCTTAGAGGAGGACACTCTCTCTGTCTTTTTCTAGAGCTGGCATTCCTTGGTTCCTTGGCAATCTCCACATGGCATCTATCTTTCTTCCATTTGTCTTTGCTTTTCTTTGTGCCTAATCTGCTTCTCTTGTATTCAAAAGTAATTAGATTAAGACACCCCGGGCAATCTACTTCTGTAAAGATACCACCACCTCAGAAACCCAAGGAGGGGTTGCTATGAGTCAGAAACTACTCAATGGCAGTGAGTTTTATTTATTTATTTATTTTAACTACACCACATGGTTTCATTAGCATAAGAAATTATCCTCTTCCCAAACAAGATTACATTTACAGGGACAGGGTTTAAAGTACTGGCATTTATTTTAGGGCGTGCATGATTCAATCCCTAACAATTTTAAGGACAATTTTAATTTAACTTTCTTTCTACTTTCACCTATTTCTACTAACCTTGCTCCCCTAGGTCTTCTCCTAACATCCATATCGAGATCTTTGCTTGGACCACTAATTTGATTCTAATCATCTTATCCTTGTAGTGTAAGTTAAAGAACTACACAGATCATTTCTAACCCTCTCTACTGAAGTAGTCCTCATTACTCTATGATCATGTATTCACTTCATAGTTCACTACATATTTCACCCCTTTCTAAATTACAGGGTCCATTAAAGTGGAGTTTTCCTTGTGTTATTTTATTGGTGCATCCCAGAGCAAACTAGACTGCATCACAAGGCCTGGCACATAATAGGGGATTAAAAATATTTGTGGAATTAATGAATAAAATAGTAGATAGGATTAGTAGAAGTCTTGTAAGTATTGGCCAAAGTAAAGAAACCTTGAAAATTATTTCAGTCTTTTAAAGTATATTTTTTGCCTCCCAGGACTCACAATGAACACATAATACTTTGAATTTTCCTTTCTTTCTTTCCTTCCTTCCTAGCATATTATTAAAAACCAAAATACGAAAAAGTTTATGTTACTGTTAATAAATACTTGGCACTTCAAAAATTCTTATTTGGTATTTCTCATCATTAGGAGAAAATTTTTGTCAAAACACATTTCAAATAATTTCTTTCTTTTCTTTCTTTCTCTCTCTCTCTCTTTTTTTTTTTTTTTTTTGTTGTTGTTGATTCCACAAATATATAATGAGCACCAATGGCACAAGGGCTTGGGTCTACAAGGTTAGTCTCTTAAAACTACTTGAAAGATATGTAACTTTCTGTATATATGGCTATGTCAACAAAAGGTGAATCCTATAGTAGAATCTGCAAGTTATGTGTATATAATCCAGAAGCAATGGCATTGTATATTCAGAGTCCCATCAAAAGTTGAAGGTAGGTGTCTGAAGACTCAATTGCCCTAAAAATGATTTGATAAAGTCAAATTATTTTTCTGACCAGTTGTTGGCAAGAAACTGTGAGGAAGCTCACTTTTGGAAGTTGATGTGGTACTGAAGATGAGATTTATGCTTGAAGATTCTGAATCTGATACTCATTATCCCAGTACTTCATCCATTGACTTTTCTGACCATCTTCTTCTTACCTAATAATGACACTTCCTTTCACTCTTACTCCATATAAGCCACACTTTCTTCTGATAACTTTTCTAACAGCCACTTTGAAGTCACTATTCCTCAAGCTGTAGATAACAGGGTTCAGTAGTGGAGTGACAACAGTGTAAAATACAGAAATAAGTTTGTTGATTTCTGGTGACAAGTGGGCACTGGGATGGACATACATGGAGATCATGGTCCCATAGTAGATTATCACAACAGCCAGATGAGATCCACAGGTGGAAAAAGTCTTCATCCGGCCAGAGGTTGAAGGAATTCTCAATATGGAAGACACAATGAATACATAGGACACAAGTGTAAGAAGAAAACAAATGCACAGCACAGCAATTGACAGGATGAATATTACTAACTTGGTGATATAAATGCTGGAACATGATAGCCACATAAGGGGAGGAAGGTCACAGAAGAAATGGTTGATCTGGTTGGGTCCACAGAAGTCCAACTTGGAAATCATCAGGGAAGGAAGTAGGCCTGTGCCAACCCCTGTCAACCAGGAGATGGTCACCAACTTGGTGCAGATTTCAGGACTCATCAGGAAGGAGTAGTGGAGTGGGATGCAAATGGCCAAATATCGGTCATAGGCCATCATGGCCAGAAGAAAACACTCAGTAGCCCCAAAGAAGACAAAGAAGTAGAGCTGGGCCATACAAGCAGAGAAGGAAATGACTTGGCCCCAGGAGATCAAGTTGGCTAGGAGAAGTGGTACAATGGTAGAGGTATACCAGATTTCCAGAAAAGAAAGGTGCTTGAGGAATGTGTACATAGGTAGGTGCAGTTGCTGGTCCTGGCTCACAACCGTGATGATGATAATATTCCCCATGACTGTAAGGATGTAAATGATCAGGAATATGCCAAAGAGCAGATTCTGCCATTCAAAAAGATTCTGAAATCCTAGTAACTTAAACTCAGTGATAGTGGATGCATTCTGGGGCTCCATTGCCTGTAAGTGAAAAAGAAACATTTTGGAAAAAGTACAATATTACTTGGAAATCAACAGTCAAGAATTCAGACAATGTATTGCACTTGGAAAATCAGTTACAAAAGACCCCTTTAAAGAGCTGGAGAGCAAAGATGTCTTTTGAAGATTAAGGAGTGCCTAACCCAAGCTATGGTATTTTCACTAGTCTCATATGCATGTGAAAGTTCCACGTGGATAGGGAAAAACAAAGAAAAGTTGATGCTTTTGAGTTGTGGTGTTGGCAGCAAATACTGAAAATACCATGAATTGTCAGAAGAACAAACAAATCTGTCCCGGAAGAAGTGTAGCCAGAATGTTCCTTGGAAACAAGAATGACCTGACTTTGTCTGACCTGCTTTGGTCATGTTGTCAGAAGGGACCAGTCCTTAGAGAAAGATATCATGCTTGGTACAGGGGAACGTCAGTGAAAAAGTGGGGGAAGATCCTTAGCATTATGGATTGACACAGTGGCTGCAATGATGGGCTCAGGTATAACAAGGATTATGAGGCTGGTTCAGGACCAGCCAGTGTTTTGTTCTGTTGTACATGGTGTTACTATGAGTTGGACCTGACTCAGTAGCACCTAACAACAACAACAATATGAAAAGTATATAAATATGCACAGCTCTTACTTTTCAGCATTTGGAACTTCAGAGATGGCTTTTAATGATTAGATTTTGTGTGTAGCTTTTTAGAAGGACAAAGATTTGGGAACTTGATAACTTAATTGTATCTGTCTTTAACAAGAACATATTTTAAAACTGAATGTAGATATTAGATTTTGAAGGTAAGTGAGTTTCATGAGTTCTGAGTCCCTAAAACCTAGCAGAAGCCTAGAATCTAATGACATAAGCAAAAATGAACTCGAATTAAAAGCAAACACAGAAAATAATAACAGCAAAACTTTAAAAAAAAAAAGAACTCATAGTGTCCTTTCTGTGGAAAACCCGAGGAGAGGATGTTATGAGTCAAGAGTCTGACTCGACAGCAAATAACAACAACAACAACCAAGGCACATGTAAGACCAAATACATGATTTCCTTCTTAAAGATTCTTTTTATATACAGTAACTAAGTTCTGTTACATCCCCACAGAAAATGAATTAACAACAACTGAACCAGCCTTTTTTGGCCTCTGCAGGGCAAGTTTCTCAACTCTCTTGATGACAGAATAATCAGTATTTTTAGCAAATAGATAGATCAGGGAAAGAAAGTAGGAAACAATGAAGGTTGGCTGTATTTTCTTTTCTTGTATGTGTACTTTATCTGAAAAAGAAGACAAAGCATAATTCTTAATAACATCTTGAAGAAGTGTATTTTTTCATTAATATGCATTAGAGAAAGTGTATGTGTGTGTGTGTGTGAGAGAGAGAGAGAGAGAGAGAGAGAGAGAGAGTCCTTTGTTAGCTCTAAGCTAACCTGTCCTCACTCCATGGATGTGCTTTTTAGCCTGACATATATCATGGCCCACCACTATAACCACTCCCTCATACACAAATTCAACATATCACACTTCTTTGCTTTAGTGTAATTCACTAGTCACATCCAGTTCTGAATAAAGTTAACAACCTATCTGTCATGTATATGCATCCAGCCAACTGAGGGGCTTAGGAAACACACACACACAACATTGCTAACTTTAAGATTCACAGCCAATGAACTCAAGGTTTTCCTCCTGTGTGTCTTTTTTTCTGTTCACTTTTCCATTCTTATCAATGTCTTTTTCAAATATGATCTTCTCTTTCTCTGCCTTCCAGCACTTCCTTGTCTACCTGCAATTTCAGTAAAAAGTCTATATCACTGAAAGCACTGAAGTCTTCCAATGGGGATATCAGCAAGCTGAGGTCACTAAATTCTCCCATCTACCATCATTTTTGCCTTTGCACTCTGCTTGGTAAATTGCAGTGTCTGCGAAAACAAAGTAAACTTTCCATAAAATAGCTTGACACAGTCCACACAACAAGGGGCTCAAACATATCAGGATCATGAAGATGGTGCAAGACTGAGTAACATTTTTTTCTGTCATACATAAGATTACCATGAGTCAGAGCCCACATGACAGCAATTAGCAACAACATTGTTTCCTAAAGTTTCTTCTGCACTAACAGACTCAGTTCATTTTAAGGCAAATCTCACCACTGCACACTAGGTACCACACATTCCAAAGTACTAGACATTATTGTACATGTTGCTATTATAGTTTTTACTCTACCAAACAACAAAGGACCCTTCTTTACTGGATCATTTCTTCAGTATGTGCACATGTTGGTTTTCTTTTCCCTTTAAAAAACCAAAACATTAAGAAAACACCTTTTTGTTATTCTGGTTTCCAAATACTTCCTGCATTTGTCTCCTCACTCTTTCAAACTCCTTTTACTCCTTAAAGGCATTTTCCTTCCAAGTAGCCCCTGTTCTTCCTATTTGCTTGAGTCTACTGCATTGAAGGTTTTGCATCACCTCTGCCCTGTCACCATTGGCCTCCATGTTAAAAAGCCTGTCATTCACTCCTAGTCCTAATTGGCTCCATCTTTTAGCAGGATTGCACAAATAATTTCTCTCTCTTCCTGAACAGACTTTTGTTACTAGCTATCTACAACTGAGTGCTCTCTGAGTTCTCTTTCTGCAGTCGTATCTTAGCACATTTTATTAATTATTTTTCTAGTATCTCAAAATCTGCTAACTTGCAATCTTATGATCTTGGAGCATAGTGCTTCTCAACCTATCCTCCATTCCTTCATAATTCCATCCAGTCTCTTAACTTTGAATGCCATTTCTTGGCCGTCAACATTCCCAGATTTATTAAACATGCCTGAATATAAACTTTGTGGAGACAATTGCCCTATTTAAAATGCACACTTGCAGGTTTAATCTGCATCAGAAATTTAGCCTGGCTTCTCCTGCAGTCTTGTCTTGCCCACAAGCCAGACTTTTTGAATGAAGTTCTTTCAATCTCATTAATGACCACTCTTTTCTTCCACTTACTCTTGCCACAAACCTTGAACTTCACTTCTATTTCTCTCAGATCTCACATATGATATTTTAGTAAACCTTGCTGTCTCTAAATTGAAAATACATTCCAAATTTTATCAGTATTCACCTCAACATGGCTTTCATCCCCCAAAATGTGTCATTATGTTGAATCTGGATTGTTCCTATTGTCTCCTCACAGGTCTCTGGCCTCTACCCTGTCCTTTGTCAGCAATAATAAAGCAGCCAGAGTGAAAATTTTAAGACATAACACATAGTCTATCATTCTTCTGTTCAAAGCCCACAGCAGTTCCCAGCTTATACAAGGATGAGCAAAATCCTGAAGCTTACATAGCCTTATTTGATCTTTCATCTAAATGCTTTTTTACCATTTATCTCTATTTTGTTCCTTGCCATTCTGCTCCCAGCACTCTGGTTACATTGGCATCCTTTCAAACCACACAGGACTTGCCCTCCTTCATAATTAACACCCTCAATTCTCTGAGAATTTCCACATGTTCATTTCTCATTGCTTTCAGTTTTTGCGCAAATACCGTGTTCTCAGTGATACCTATACTAACTACTCCACTGCCATTTCTAGAGCTTACGCCATTAACTCAAAGTAAACCTCGTTGTATATATCTTGATTTGTGGACAGGTTATTCCAAAGTGCTGACTTGTAACCACTGAGTAAACAACTAAAAGACATTAGATTATTATTCAATCCACACTGATTGATTTGTTCAGAAAGAGGGAGATATGATGGAGGATTTCAAGAGTCACAGCAATGCCCACAAGTTTTCTCAGTATCATAAAAATGTCAATGACCCCTTTTTGTCTTGATATTCTCCCATTTTTTGTAAGAATATTAGTATGGGTCTCCTTTGGCAATGAACAATAAATTTAAAAACAAACAAACGTAGGATAATGAGGGCTTAATTTGGGAGGCAACAATGAAAGTAAAACAATGTTGAATCACTATCAAATATTCTCACAGGACATTTGACCAATTTTCTAGTCATCTAAAGCCCTTCTCATAAGAAAAATTCAATTACACAAGGAAATTAAGTTTTGTTCTGCATCATTCCTTAAACACTTTCAATAGTGAGGAACTCACCAGCTCTTGAAATACTGCTTAATTTAGCTGTAAAGAAAAAAAACGAAAAAAAAAAATGTTGAGTTGATTTCATTCACTAATACAAGGGCAACCAGTATAGCCACAGATCTAATTTGGTGGCTTTTGTTGAAATTATATGAAAATACGTATAATCAATAGTGCTATTTCTATTATGAGCTATACTACATGGAAGAAACCAAATGACCTTTGACTTTTCAAAATCTCTTCTTTGTTTACTTTCCAGTGGCTACAGTTTTATAATCTCACCAATTTACACAAGTTTATTTACTATGATTCTATATATATAAAGTAATACATAAAAAGACTAAAATTACCCTGATAATGAGGATTAACTTTTTGAATTCTGTGTAATTTAGAATCCAGCCACCACCACTCCAAACCAAAATAGCAAAACTTAATGATTTTGGCAGTATAATACGCAACATGTTTATTTTCTTTTGGAAAATACTTGCTTTCCTGCATGAACCTCAACTACCTCTTTTCTTTGTCTCAGTCCACACAAATGGAATGCTCTGAAACAGTGGAGGGCACGGGCTTCCCACAACCTTTGGCCTGAACAGGTTGCATACAGTTGACCAAGGCCCTGCAGAGCCAAGTATTGAAAGCTCTAAATGATGCTTGCTCCAAGATCTGCATTGCCAGCTTCTGATGAAACTACGAGGTGTGTTTTCTTTGGATGACTGGAAATTCAACAGGTTATGCTGTTGTTTGACCCTGGATAAAGCTTTCTTCTATTTTCAATAATCTAACATATCTTGGGGATCTAGCCTTCTTGTTCCCCAGATATTCTTCTGTGATTTGCCTATCAAATTAGTAAATAACAAAACCAATCTCTTGAGAATCAGCTTTGCTCACTGAGGTTTAGATGTTGAAAA